CTGTAATATTACAGATCAACAACACAGATACCATTCTCATTTATTTACATTTTATAACATTTTATTTGTATAATTAAATTAGATTTTTTTTATTTTTTTTATCTGAGTGTTTCAGGGTATTCTCTGAATACCTTGAAGGCCCTGACGGTTCACCACTGATGTTGAATAATGTAATAAGCTCAAATATAATTGTGATGTACAACCCTGTGTTGCATATGGACAATAATTGATCATTGAATCCATGATTCATGTTTTTTAACCTATTCAAAGGTCAGAAGGGTTGTCAAATGCAAAAATATAACTTGTTTGCTTTGAGAGACAGCTGAAGCATCATTAGTTATTAATGAAGCCCATTAGATGAAGACTTTTTCAGCTTTTTGGATTCCGTTATGAGCAAAAACATTTGAGATACAACACACTTACATTTATATTTTGCAGGGGAATAGCTCATATATTACAAATGTATTGCATTCAGTTATGGAGGTATTTCAAATTAAACTTTTAGCTCTTTCAATGATCTTCCAACAAGGGGTTGAACCCATTCGTTATTTTCTCAAAGCAAGACAACAGCTTGGGATAGTCAAGATATGTTGTGATCTCTACTGAACACTGGAATGTGAAATGCAACAAATATTGGAAACAAACACAAGCCCATCTCCTTGTTACAGTTATTCATGTATGTTTGGTTAGCTCCAACTCAACTCTTTGAATGTCGAGGAGGAGGAGGAGGAGGAGGAGGAGGTCAAGTTGTGGGCATTTCAGTGTGGCAGCCCATTTCAGACTCCTTTGGCCATCTCATTCTCTGTTTTCAAAGAATTTAGCAAAAATCCTAGATGGTGGACAATGTCTCAATCTCGCAGAAAAAATGAAAAAATTCCACTGCCAGCTTGAAAACTCACAGCTCAGAAAAAGTATTAAGGATCAGTTCCAGTTACACAGCTAGATTATTCGTATCATCCTAGCATTTTTATGGCATAAGGAACTACAGTAGGCCTAGCTATTTTTGATGTTAAGTACTTCAACAGCAGAGGGTTATATAAAAGAAAATAATATAACACAGCTAACAGTGCACAACTAAGTTAAAGCAACACTAAGGATGCACTCTGAATCCTGTGAGATAAGCCAAAACGCATGTTGACAAATGTTGCCAAATATGATATCCTATATTTCATCAATGCCACTTTTTGAGAATTTGTTCCTTTTACAATATTTGAGTGGTTACATTTTCAGGATGGAGATGATAGCAACCGTATAATAATAATATAATAATAATAATCCTTATATTTATTATAGTGCTTTATCAATGACTCTCAAAGCGCTTTACAAATACAGATTACACATACAGATCATACATACATGTAATGGTCATCTACTGTGGACAATACCCACAGGAGCAAGTTCAGGTGAAGTGTCTTGCCCAAGGACACAACGGCTTTACAGACGCATACCTTGATCTGATAATCAGCGCACTGCTCCACACCGCCCATCTTCACACCTCGAAGTCATCGAGGCGCTTTACAAGTAAACATATCATATCATACATGTACTGTGGACAATACCCACAGGAGCAAATGCGGGTGAAGTGTCTTGCCCAAGAACACAACGGCCTGACGCAGTGGGGCGGGAGCAGGTTTCGAACTTGAGTTCCCCAACGCCCCCTTGATCTGATGATCAAACGCACAGACCACTGCGCCACCCGTCCCTGTCCAAATGTGCAGAGGATGTCTGCGGCAGGTCATAGCATGGGCTTTGCTTTGGACTCTTCTAAGGAAATAAGGCAAA